CACACACACACACACACACACACACACACACACACACACCTTCTGGGTCATTTTGAGTTTAGGGTCGGGTGATCACTTAGTTGTTTTCCTGGTTCGTAGTCAATGGAACAGCTGAAATCCCAAATTGGACTGCAGTTATAAGAATCTAACTTGTCTTCATTAAACCTAAATACTGGAACTGGTTACGTATAACAATGTACCTACCTAACACACAAACAGAGAGAACCAATTACTTGAAGGCAGCGGGAAGCAGGTGCAGGAAGATTCTAATAAACAACAACGCTCCCACAAGTATGCGTAACGAATAACTGAGTCACGGATGATCTTATTTGGGGGCAGTCGAGATCGTTACCTACTGCTTGCTCTCATTCTTCCACCGCTCTTGTCCCCTGCTCATTCCGTTTCCCAAGAGGTAGTGCTCCAAAGCATTACCTTGGCATGGATCTCCGATACAGTACCAGATTGGAGTCACACCTTACATGACTCAATCACTCAACTCCTCCAAATAAAAACTAGTATGAAGGCCATTTCTCTTCAGCTGAGATATTTCCTCCTCTCCTTAAGTGAGTTAAGCAGGTACCCTCAAGATGAGACCGCCGACAATAGATGTTATCGGAGTTGGGAAATAGCAATTTTGAAACCACAGCAACTGAGCATCGGGTAGGATTCATATGTCAAGAGGTTGCTGCAGCTTGCACTCACTAACAATGTCGTGAGCTACGTTACAAAAATCCTCAGTCTTCCGTCAAATACATTGAAGACGGAAAGTCTGTGGGGCACCTGCTTCCCTCCACACACACAAACACACCAGGCCTCCCAGGAGAGGTAAACAACATGGAGGGGGTAGTTGGAGAGAGTCAGAAGCGGTCCTTTCAATGTGGCCATCTGTCATCCTACTGTTCAGATCTCTGAGTCAGATAGACTAAACCATCCTTGTTGCTAAACATAAACGGAGTTCTGAGATGTGCATGGAAAAGAGCTCTTTCCACAGCACGCTATCCAAAAAAACAAATTACAATGTGGCAAGCTTACACTCCTGGCCTCAGTTCCAGCCACGATCACTCTCTACAAGACTCTACAATCTCGGCTTCTCCAGCGGATGCAACAATTCTCACAAGCTTCGCAGCTATGAAGATTAGGCTCCTAAGACTGTGCTACTCTACTTCCGGAGGAGGATGAGTAATGCAATCACCCTCAATAGAATGATTCATCACGTGCGCTGTGACTCGATGACCTAATCACGAACTGAAGATCTGATACTTACAAATGTCAGCACGGAAGTCGGAAATGAAGCGCAATGCACCTCTTACTCCCTTGAGGTGCGTTTCATGGACTACAAGTACAACCGTCAAAAATAATTTTTCACAAACAGGCAACACATCTAACCATGCCGTTCTCGTTGCATTTCTCGCATCGAGTCACATCATCATCGACAACAAGCTTCAAGCTCCCGCTGCATTCGGAACAGAGGATGTACCTAAGATCGCCACACTGCGGGCAAGGTACTCTCTTCTTTCCTTCAAATCCTTCCACAAGTTTTGGAAGTAGATTTTCCTCGTTCAACTGCCTTATCTCATCTATCCCTCCGATATACCTACCCCGGATGAACACCCTTGGCACCGGGAGCAGACGACCCATAAGCGTCCTCAGTTCTTCGCGAAACTCCCCTGAGAACGATATGTCTCTCTCGTCCAGTAACACTTGCATGCCCTCCATGAGACTTCGAATGGCATTGCAGTCTTCATATGTTTTTCTTACTGCTCGAAGTTTCGTCGTGTACAGGACAATCCGCTCTTCCCCGTGCGGAGGACACTTAACTTCAAATGAGTCCCACACCGATGCGTACATTCCCCGACTGGTTTCTTCTTCCTGCACCGTGTCCCATTTTGACGGCAGAGTTTCCATATCAGCCTCGCTCCATCGTGAGCCACCATATCCATTCGAAGATCCACTGGACAATATCCGTTGCAGTGTACTTTGCCGTCCAGAATTCCTCTCTTCTGCGCCTTCTGCCTCTCTCACCGATTCTTGTCGTGACCTCTCTAACTGCTGAATAAGCTTCTCGACGCGCGTTCCTCGTCGTCTCAGGCGTTTGCCAGAAGAGCTCCTGTGCATGGGATGAAACCGGTTCCACTGAGGGGTAACATAATTAGGGGAGGGCCTTGCTTCATGACGGGTTTTCATGGCCTTCCAGTGGCCTGTGGCACTAGTCCGCTCCGCCGCTGCTGGCTCCTCAGAATTCTCTACGTGCGCTCCACAAATACCGTCCTCCCCAAAGTTCTCATCTGGGGACTGGAACTCTGCACCACCGATGCTCTCCTCGACCCCATTCTCCATGATCCCATCTTCCCAATTGCCAGCGTTAACTCCCGCGGACACAAAAGAGTTCTGAAGTACATGACCATTTCCTGCCCACCTTGTACAACCTGGCTCTGCACCTGCTTCACCGAGCGACGATCTAACATTTCCAGCGGCTAACAACTCGTCCACATCTCCGTCCCAGTTGGATTGACCATCCCTATCTGGAAACCCTCCCCTACCCCCATATGCAGAAAAATTTCCATCACCATTTGCTCGCCCTCGATTCCAGTCCTCCTCGGACATTTCCGCAACAGCTTCAGAGAAAGTACACAGAAGATCCTGATTCACAGGAGATTCCGGTGGGGTGAGAAACCCTGTGCTTCCCGTTCCGTCAGACAGAGAGATCACCTCTGGAGAGAGAACGTATCGCCCCCACATATCCCTCCACACCTCCCTTTGCTCTGGTGTGTGAAACCCCTCTGATGCTCCTGCACCATTGAATTGACTCTCAGATATTGATGCCATGGCCGTAGGGTCAACTGGCCACTCCCTTTGTGAGATTCCGCCAGAGACCCTCGGGGAGACTATCGTCCTTGACCTCCTTGGTATGCCCGCCACAGCAGTGTTTACCCTGCTTCTCATGAAGGATGGAGCTCGACCAGAAAAAACGGAGAAGGCGGGGGAAACCGAGGCATCGCCGTCGACACCATGCAACAACATAGATGGAATGCCGTTCTCCCTCCTATCATAACCCATAGGGCCTGATGGCCACAAGACCACACGGCTGTTGGCAGCTACCTGCTGCAACCGTGCGGAGGGACGGAGATCTCTTGCAGTGACTCGTGAATGAGCTTGGGAGGGAGGCGATGGCCGCAGAGGGTGATCAGGGCAGGAAACAGATACAAAGCGCGGGTCTGTGGGATCCGGGCGAATTTGGGACAAAGGTGACGGTGCAGACATCAACATGGCAGGTGGCAGCGATGCTCTGACCGAAACGTCATGCACTGACCTCACATGGGATGTATGACTAGGGATACGGGGGGAGACAGACAGTTTAGGTGATGCGAGGGGCGGCGGCGGTGTCGCGTCAAGCACCCTAGGGGAACGTTCCCCATTGTAACGAGCTCTTGATACGCAATGCCTCAGGCTTGCCTCGTCCGCTTGATTTGCCGAAGGACTTTGCCGTAATCTAGGAGAAGTTCCAAGCTGCACCAACTCGGGCATGCAAGGTCTCCCCTGCTTTTGAGCTGGTACAGCTAAAGAGTGGGAAACTCCATTGTACAGCTCCCTGTCCTCACTAAATATTAATGGAGATTGCAATCTGCTATAGAGGGAGGGTGGCGTTGGGGATTGCTCATGGGCATATTCTGGCGTTCTGTACAGACCCACCCCTGTTGGACTTCTCCCAGACTTCGCACAAGGCAATCCATGTTGACAGCACTCATTTCCTTCCTGCAGGTCAAGAGCATTGTCGTACCGCACTGGAATTTCAATTCTCTCAAGCGGATGGACCAATTGAAGTGGCCTGGGGCCTTTGTCACTGCCCCCTGTTTCTCCGCTCTCTTCGTTGCAGTAGCGATTTAATTGCTCCTCTCCTCCTCCCGGTGTATTGACCTCCATCTGCGACTCCACACCATCATTATCTTGGAAAGTTCTTCCCCTGTCCCATGAATCTTCCAGGTGCCTACTACACATACCATTGCACACCATTCTCTCAGGCTGGCTCTGCCTGGGCGCTCGCACATATACCCTGTCGTTCTCTGTCAAACCCAATGGTCTGTTGCCTGCCCTCTCCTCCTCCACCCCACCTTTACCCTCCTCAGCCTCTACAAAATGCCCACCGCATCTCCAGCGCTCACTTTGGGTCACCAACGGATCAGTTCCCGGTGCATCAGGCGACAATCTCGCATCCAGCATATGCCTGCTCAGAGCTCTCTTGCTGGCATCAAATCTGCTGGCATATAATCTGTCAGTTGACTGATGTCTATGCACCGGTGAGTCAACGGGGCATTTCTCTGTCACCAGTTGGTGAGGAGAATGAAATGTTCCTTCATTTCCCACACAACAACTACACATTTCCTCGGGAACTGACAACTCGTCCATCTCGTCAAGATCTCGCATCAAATCGGCTACGTCAATCGTCTCTTCATTGCTCCGCCGATCTTTTCCACCATCCAACTCCTGTGAGACTCTGCACTTCCTACACCTCTGATCAGAGCTCATTGCGCGGCGATGCCTAATGCAACTTCTTTGATGAGTTGCTCCCTGCTCCATGGCCTCTGGCCGCTGCAGCTTACTCGTACAATCCACACTCATGCCTGCGCTCACACCCATGGCCACAGTAGTGACAGGCCTGCCCACAGCATTTGAATTGACAGTCACACCATCAGGTGGGTCTCCTTCACATCCGGTAGACTTCGCTCTGCAAGGAAGGTCACTATGCTCCCACTTCTTATCAGATGAAGGCCCATAGCTAAGAATGCCGAGAGTGGTAGACCGTAGTTCGACCTTATGATCTACCTCCATGTTCTCTTTCTCTGCATCCGTATTTGAGCACTGATCTGTTTTGTGAGACCCCACCCATTTTGACGAACGTGCTTTATGTTCAAAGCCATCTGACACAGACTGACGCTGCATTGCCTTTGTCGATGAGCATCCCATCTTCGCTGCCTTGGCTCTACAGGACTGCGCGCTGACGGCGGTCAAACACTAACCAGCCTCCTTCAAGGCAACAATGGCAGAAGCTTTCACTGCCTAGGGAATCCTGAACAAGGGGGAAAAACAAATGCAGGTGAGCATGGGCCCAAGCATCTCACAGAACATCAACCTTTGCTTGTAATCCTGATCTTCCCAGACCATTGGCCACATCGCAAAGGCAGATAGCAGGACGAACAGTCCGCATGATACCCAATACGCTCTCTTCAGATCCAGATTGCAGACAAACTTGCTGTGTCAATCCTCACACTGAGCAGCTTTCGTGAGAGGTATGACAACGCTCCGACCTGCCATTCATCCACCTCTGAGTGCACACAGCTGAAGCTTCTCTCCTTAGCTCACTCTGCCTGGTCATCGTCACCTTTATAAGAAGAATAACCAGTGTGCATGCTTAGCATGATAGGCAATGGGTTGCCGTTAGATCTGGGTCTCCAGCTACCTACAGCAAGTACTGAGCTGATCATCACACCAGGCGGCTGTGAGCTGTGGTGATGCTGCAAATCATCATTCATCCGACTCCGGGCACAGGCAGTCCAACCCTCCCTCCTTAGTTCAGTCCTTTCTGCAAACACAACAGTGTCAGGTAAAGTGACGTCAGACCACAACCGCATCGCTGCGGGAGCTCACAAGGAGGATAAGATGTTGACATGTTCAAATCAAATCGTTAAGTGGCAGAAAAGAAAGGAAAGAAATCAAATTTGCATTATGTCCGATAGTGCTGTGCACGGGAGTTTCAGATTGGAACGAACATGTTAACACCAAGCTGCCCATAAATTCAAGAATGTGGTGGCCAGAGAGGAGCAGGTGGGAGAAATGTTGGGTGGGCACTGGGCGGCAGGAAGACAAACTAGGTAAATACAGGTATGGAAGGAATGAAGGAAATGAAGAAAGGAGGAGAGAGGTATGCGGGGACAGAAAGGGAGGGAGAGATGTACCCAGAGACAGAGAGGGCAGACCAGGGATGGAGAGAACTGGGCAGAGGGGTCTGAAGGATAGAAAGAACAAAGCAGCAGGAAGAGGGGGTCAAGAAGAGTGCAGACGTGGATAGAGGGGAGGGACAAAGAATAACAGAGAAGCAGGTGGAGAGGGGCATACACGGTAGGGAGGGAAGGAGGGAACGAGGGAGGGGAAGCAAGAGGACAATAGAACACGAATAGCACAAAGAGAGAGGAAGAGGACAGCGAAAAAACAAGGGAGAAGGAACAGATTGATACAGACCCCCACTCACACATTGCCGGATCAAGGAAGGAAGCAAGTTTGGGATGCTGACGGAAAGTAAGGAAGAACTGCATACAATAGAACGGTTTCAGTGTGCTCTTCATGTGTGTCTTATGTATTTTTTATCATTTGCTTCGCAAAGCGAGCTAATTTCATTGATAGATATGTGAAAATATATCGTCGCAAAGGCGGAAAAAGAGAAAACAAGAAAAGGGAAAGACGGAAAGCCCCACCTGTTCATCACCTCTTACGTACAAGGCCAGCCACGCCAATATATATATATATATATCGTCACAAATAGAACTGCCCGGTAAACCGTAGGCAGAGAGAGAGAAGAGGACAACAAACGAGGGGCTG